GTCAGAGTTAGAATTTCAATTTTGTTTAGAGATCTTTCAGTCAAATTTTAATTCTGCCTAGTCAAATTTAAAATCTGCCTTGTCATAATTAGAGTCTTAATTTTGCCTAGCGAATCTCTAGTCAAAATTAGAATTTTAGTTTTAGCTAGGCAAACTTAAAATTTTAATTCTGTCTAGACAGATTTTAAATTTGACTGAATTTTAAGTTTGCCTGCAGCGTATACATATACACACAATCCGAATATATCTTGTGCATTTTATTAATATTTATAATGTTGAAATCGATACATGTGAGAAGAAGCATCTATTCTATCAGAACGAGATCACGTATTTTAAAGAATATTCGATTTAAAACTTTCAAGTTATATGTATTAATCTAAAACATATTCGTCCATAATCTTATAATCGTATACTATAGTGTTGAGTTTAGTTTTGTGCAAATTCTGCTAAACCTTTTTGTGTTAACATTTTTCTGTCCATTTTTCCATTTATATTTTTTGGTAAAATGACTAATATTCGAGTATATAATGGTATTTTAAATTCAGCTAATTTTTCTTTCAAATAAGAAAATAAATGTTGTTCAACTTCGGCAACATTGTTCGACAAAGACGAATAAGACGTGCAATATATGCAACTGGCTTTTTAGACTCCATATATGGTACACTTGTGACAGATACTTGATAAACATCATTACATTCAAGTAAGGTTTCTTCTAATTAAAGTAAATTAGCATTACATCCATTACATATAATATAATTTGTTTTATACGTCCAACAATCTTTAGAGCACCATTTGATTCTAAATATCCGATATCACCGCTTTAAAGCCAACCATTTTTCATTATTTGTTGAGTAGTTTTTTCATCACTTAAATAACCAGTCATTATTGCATTTGAATATATTGTTATTTCACCACATGTGTTACAAGGGACATCTTCCCAATTATCATTTGTTATTCTGAATTTTGTTGTTCCACCAAATGGTTTATATGATCCGAATTTACGTGGATTATCAGCTGGGATGGCACAAGAACCATTTGTTTCGATCATTCGATACAATTCAAGTGGACATAAATCTAAGCATTTTCCTGCTTTTTCCCCGCCAATAAAACAATAACGTAATGAACTTTTTCTATACTCTCCTTGTATAAAACTTTTTATTTCTTCAACAAGATTACGTAATGTTGATGATATGCAAACAATATATGTAATATTTTGTTCAAATAGAATTGGTAGAATCGTTTTAATATATACGTTTCCAGGTAAGTTAGTTGGTAAATAACAAATTATAGAACCGTGTCGTATAGCTGGAAGTATATTAAAATCTAATGCTGATAAACTATTCATAGGAGCTATTAATAAAAACTTATCAATTGCAATCGCATCAGGACGATTTTCCAAGGATTTTTCTAACAATAAATAAAGCATGTTAAATAGTCTTCGAAAGAGTTTCAGATATTCGTCGAACTTTACTAATAGTTAATAATATTAAATAACAACCGACTGGTCGTTGTTGTGGTTCAGAATCTAAAAGAAGTCAATTCGTCAACTGCTCTGGCAAAATGCCTATAAAAGGATATCATACTTAAATAATGTAATGTATATGCACTAGACAGATCAGACCCTACATGATCCTATATATTTTCAGAATTAGAAAAAAACCTTGTTAGGGCAGCCCCTTATGGGGTTAAAATGGTGAAACTTCTTTAAATTAGCTGAAAGATGGTATTGAGAATAGTGTACACTAGCATGGAGGAACTATGAAATTACAGCTGTCCTTTAAAATGAAGACACCATAGGTTAAAAAATAGATCAAAATCAAGGCTTTTTCAGTATAAAACTTCAACTCCTTCTCCTTTGGAGATATCATATAGTCACAATAGCTGAAAAAATTAGTTTTATTTTCATTGCGAAATTAGCACTGGAGGACAATAATATAGAATATACCCAGTCTGAAACTTAAAAAAGCCTCGTATTTCTGGCTCTCAAAATGCTTCGTTTGTGTCTGCATAAAACCGCAGTTACTTATGCGCTGATACTGCCGCGTACTTGTGGTTGAAAAACTGGTTTATAATTAGTGGGAATTGATCAGTAAGAAAAGAGGTGCGATCATAGTTTGTTAAACTCTGCTGCTATGCACCACTGTCTTTACATGTAATTTTCGGGACAAAGTGCATTACTACACTTATCTAGTCACATCCGAAGGGCGAAGTTTGGAGTCTTACCTTTGATTGACTATGGAAGTAAGGCGCCCGTAATTCAAAGATCGAATACAAATTTCTTCCCGACAAATCATACACCATTCGACGTAGAATTTCATCCTAATTTTGAATATGTATAACATGTCCAGAAAGAACACTTTCTTCTTGTCAAAAATCTGTGAGAACTGATACAATTTTACACGGTGAATATGAAGAAAAAAAATTTCATCGTTTAAACCAAACAGTACGAAAAAACAACACTTTTATAGAAAAAAGCGGGTTTTCAGGTTTCTTGATTTTTGAGTTTTCTGAGATTTTCGACAAGCGGAAAGTGTTCTTTCTGGACATATTATACATATTCGAAATTAGGATGAAATTCTACGTCGAATGGTGTATGATTTGTCGGGAAGAAATTTGTACTCGATCTTTGAATTACGGGCGCCTTACTTCCATAGTCAATCAAAGGTAAGACTCCAAACTTCGCCCTTCGGATGTGACTAGATAAGTGCAGTAATGCACTTTGTCCCGTAATGACATGTAGCAAATTTTTCAGTCAAGTATACGAATCCATTCAGTGATAAATAGCGCAAGTCAGTTTTCTGGCTTGAATTCAGATAAGTGTTTATGATCACTTTAACAGATTTTGTCAATATAAAGTTTAAAACAGCAAATTGATTAGACAAAAGTGTTCAGTAATATCAATACGGCCTGTCCAGCTAACTCTACCTGCGTATGTAATTCCGTGACGTTTTTCTATGATTATGTTTTATTTGCAGAAATTTTTGAAAAAGTCAGAACTCAAAAGTAAATAAACCATTTTGTAGACAATTTAATTCTCTATCGACTGACTCGATAGAGAATTAAATTGTCTTCTCTATCGAATTAAATTGTCTACAAAATGGTTTATTTACTTTTGAGTTCTGACTTTTTCAAAAATTTCTGCAAATAAAACAAAATCATAGAAAAACGTCACGGAATTACATACGCAGGTAGAGTTAGCTGGACACGCTGAATGGTAAAAATATGGTGCGATGAATCGAAACGCAATAAAATAAGTGAACACGATCAAGTATAATGAAGAATAGTACAGTTCGTGATGGGAGAAAGAAACTGGGCAAGTGAAAGCCAAAATAGGAGAAAAATACAGAATGAATTCTAAGAGAAAGTATGGAGCATGTCTGAACGAAGGATAATAAGACAAGAATTTCCAAAAATTGAAAGAATTATCTCAGTTTTTAGCCACTGAAAAAGACATAGAGTGAGCGTAACAGCCTAAGCACAGTGGGCAACTAAGCGGACATTAGGCCAAAAAGTCGATTTTATCTATCTTGAAATACAAATAGTGCAAAATGTAGCTCTTGAAATTCTCTATCGAATGGTGTATAAACGTCTATTGTGAAAC